TATATTATATTATATTATATAATATACTTTTATTATATAATATACTTTTATTATATATATATATCTATCTATATTGTATATTTCAGTCTTCACCGAATGTTTCGCCTACAAGCTGAGTCCATAGCTGCAGATCTGGAACCACCCGGAACAGCTCTAGTTGGAAATCGCTTGACTGATTCGGACTTTGACTCTTGAAGGTCCAATCAAACGCCCTAGGCCCTCCACCTCGCAACTTTAAGCCAATCAGATGTCAAAAGCAGCAGAGTGTGGGTTTGATGTTTCGAGGATTTTGCTTGTAGCCTCACGAGGGGGTTCGGTCGCCAATCTGAAAACTGGCTGTGTAGGGTAGGCCCTAAGTGAGTGAGGAGACCCTGCCCTAAGACCCTTTCCCTCCCAAACCCCTAGCAAGACCCCCCTCCCCCCATCCCCCAAAGCTTTAAACCCCTGAATCCCTGATCCTCTAAGCCCGAAACACCCTTTTTGTAGGACTCTGACTAAGAAACCTTGACCCTATAACCCCAATATAATATATTAGGATTCAGGTAGAGAGCCCTCATAAAGACCCCGGGATTTCTGAATCAGGTTCCAACATTAAGCCGCAAAACCCCTGCCAGCGGGAGGACTGAACAGCCCACAATCGCGTGCCATATATCCAAACAGCACAGAGCAGGAGCCGGAGGCGCGGACTTAACATAGGTCGGAATAATCTGGGCTCCGATACTTTATTATGTTATTTTGGGCACGTTCCTTAAAGGAACCATTATGGAATAGTCTGGGCTGCTAGACTTGATCAGGTGTGTTTGGACCTGTTCCTTGAAGGAGCCAGCATGGAATAGCAGCTTCTACCTGTTATGTCTCTCGTACGGTCCCTGATTACCGCAAAGCCCTGCGGTTGTATTTCTGATGACTCATAATCTCCTTGTGTATATATATATATACATATATAGTCTCACTGTTTATAGTTACAAGTATAGTATTAATCTACCCCAAACCCTTGGCCTTAACGTAGATCCCTGAAGGAACCCTTACAGGACCCTTAGGTAGGGCCTTAGTGTTTGGAGCCTTTCCGTAGGTCTTGCTTTCGGCATCTGGAGTTTTCCATCGGGTTTGCGGGGCGAATCGGGCGCTTTAGTCGTGGATGTCGTAGTTGGGTCTTCTCGGGTGTTGGGTGAGGTGGTAGCGTGTGGGGTCGAGTGTCTTTTGTGCAATTTCTGTCTGAGTGTATCTTTATGGCGGCTTCGGACTTTTGTTTATTGCATAGATGTTCATCGAGAGTTCGTGCGCCAGTTTATAGGATCCTGCTTCAACGACGAGTGATCCCTACAGTGGGATACCTTAGACCGCAGTCCTGGCTAAACCCAAAACCTCATCAATGAGCCCTTCACACTCCAAAGTGAGAGCAAACCCTTGCAACTTGGCTTTTGATTTTAGATGTGGAGCCCAGTTGTGGTGAACTCCTTGCCTGCCTTGTGCGACGAGTTGCGAGAGTCAAAAAATGCACGGCTTCTGATGGGTATGGTGAGGCAAGAGATGTATAGAGCTTAGAATTCAGGTCTAGGGGGTTGAGGTTTTAGGGATCAGGGGTTCAGAGCTTTCTGAAAACAATAGGAACTCCCGCAGTCAACTCCATCTCAAAGGTAGGGTTTACTCGGCTGTTTCCCTGCACGGCGCTTCGGAACCGAGCTTTAGGATTTTCGGCCTGCTCCTGGCATGTGTGAATGAAAACCGAATAACACGAGCTATGCCCTGAAACGGAAAGACCTAGCACGCAAAGAGCAGACACAAATTACCCTAGTATATGATGATATAACATAGTAGAATATAACATATAATATATGCCAAACTATACTATACTATGATATAAAGACCGTAAGGCCTTGCGCCAGTCCTAAGCCCTCCCTGCGAGGTAGCCGAGGCGAGCAGGAGGGTACCATGCCTATTGGGTAATGAGCCTCTTTGTGCGGAATTCGGCGTGCGAGCCCCAGCGGGAAGCGCGCGGATCGTCTGCTTGCTACCCTCATTACTTCCAGTTTCCGCCCCGCTATGACCACAAGGAACACAAAACCCTAACCAAAGCCCTAAACTATATTAATTCGTATTATCGGCGACTCTTTCATTGCAATTCCAGAGCCATGCCTCCGCACCCCAGATCGGGAGACCAGCCCGGCATCAGAAATTTCAGACTCTGCTAAAGCTGCCAAAGCCCTGACCCCGAACTTCCCAAAAAACTTCGACTGAAAAGCCCCCACAATCCTGAGCCAAAGCCCAAAGGCTCTTTAGGCGTCAGAGTTCGGGGTTTACGACTTCGGAGGAGGTTGAACAAATGCATCGCCCCAGCCTTCTTAGGTGAAAGTGACGATTAAGAACACTTTCATCGACGTAAGCTCCGACGATGACGACGACACCGCGAACCCGATGATGGAGAAGATCAAGAGCGAGCCAGCCCTTCGTCGGGATAGCGTTCTCTTTTTCTTCGAAAGGGGGGTTAGGGTTTACGGTCATGTTTGGGCTGGTTTCGACCTTAACATACGGGACTTGATGACTATTCGAGGGTATATGAATTCTACTACAAGTATGATGAGATGGTACTGCTTGCTATTCAGGCCTCTATATTGGGTCATTAGGGTGTTTGTTTGGTTCCACCAACTCATATTAAAACAAATCTATAGGTACGAATACCTGCATCGATGCCTGCATGAACATGGCTACCTTCTATTTGCACTTGTGTATGTGTAGTTATCCAGCATGTTGCAATGGAAACCGTTGGGTCTATGCTATGTGGATAGCTATACTATACAACCTCAACAATTGCACCATACTGTTGTTTTGCTTGCGGGGCTAGGATCTGTCAGAAGATTTCCTTCTTGGCCCGAAACCCGTCTTTGCCACACCTCGCGAGCACTCACAACCGGGTTCCTCGTACTATACTTTACACTTAACTTGGGATGTAGGTGTGGGGTTTGTGACTTTCCAGAGAGGGCTTCGCACTCGGAGGTGTCATTTTTTTCCACAGAATCCACGAGCTCCGCGGTGCCTCCAACCGCTTAAATTGGCAGTCCAAAATGGCCATCCTCAAACGCATTCCAGCTACAAAACTGAAGAGCCCAGATGTCGCTGTTTGCCACTCCGATGATCTCCAAGTGCTGTCCAGAGGTCCACCCGACGCCCCTCTCCCCGGAGGGTGATGTCCAGAAGCGCGCACCTGGGCTGTTCGAAACAGAGGTCCCGGGTTCTCCGCAAAATGTTAGCTTCCTTGTAGCTTGCAGAGTACAATCACGAAACGGCTTTGGTTGCGGGTTGATGTGATGTATAGAGAACATGTTGGGATGTATATCGGCCTGCTTTATCCTTCGGGATGCCCAGCATCACACGAGAATAGTCGAAAATCGAAAGCCCTGTCTATGGACTCTAAATTTTGCACAAACCCCAAAACCTGAAATCTAAGCAACCCCTAAACCTTCCCTAAACCTCCTAAACCCTAAACCCATCCCAAAGCTCGAGAGCTAAGATTCGCTGAGGTGTGGCAGCCCTCCTCTGATCTCCCCACGCAGGAGGTTGGCCTTTGCTTCGGGGGTTTAGGGTCTCATAAGGTTTCGTAGGGTTTGAGGGTTTGGGGTGTCTAGGGTTTCGTAGCCTTGAGGGTTTAGGATCTATAGGGTTTAGGGTTTGAGGGTTTGGGGTGTCTTGGGGGAGGAGATCTCTGTGTAAAGCCTTCAAAAGCCCAGCGGCCGCAAGAATGTTCTGGGCTTCTGGGCCCTCTGTCAGTGGCCTTGTCCAGTTGCCAGCCGTTTCATGCAGCATCGCGAATCTAGTCTGCTAGTCGAGTTCTGACTGAAAGACATCAACAGCTGGGTATACTGAAATCAAGCTGTGCAAGTCAAACCGCTGCAAATCTGGGCTTGAAGGAAGCGGAGGAGGAGGAGCACGCGAATTCCGAAGATTCTGCGCCAACGGCAAAGGATGGGCCAAAGGTCACATCTCAGGTGGCGGCGTGTCTTGCAAAGTCTGCCCTTCCCCAGACCCCCAAAATGCACGTTGTGGCCCATAGATGTCTAAGTGTTCTAAGACTTAGAACAGTTCATCCTCGTATGGGTATATCGCCAAATGGATGCCACATAATAGATTAATCGCACGCAAGCAAGCATGCAAACATACATGTGTAGTTATTTTGATTATGCATATAACACACCAATAGACACGCGTACATGCGTGTGTATAGATACATGTGAATGTAGATACATGTCACAAAAACAAACACACACAGACACACACACACACGTATATATATATATATTTATATATATATATATATGTGTATACATGTTTGTATGTCCATTTTCTAGAAAGACAGCAGATTGTACCTTCAGCGTTTAAGCCTGGGCCTAGGCTTGACTGGGCGTAGGGTTTGAGGGTGTAGGGTATAGGGGCACTACCACAAGAGGCCCGGTTGCATAAAGGTTTAGATGGGGGCGCCCCTTGAGTCCCAGCTGGGTTTATGGCTAGGATTTACGGGCTGAGGGGTGAAGAGTCCGGCAGAGACTCGTGCGAGCTGAGTTTCGCCTTACTGCCAAAGCTTTGCCGTATGTACCTTCATAACGGGTCTGTTCATGTTGACAGAGAGACCTGCATACCTATACGTTTGTACATACTGAGTTTCCAGCTTGCTTGCAACCGGGGTCGGGTTGAGTAAACCAAAGAAGGTGCACAGCTCAGTGTCCTGTGCCCGCCTGCGCCGTACACATACATACATACATACACACACATACGTTTATACATTTATACATTACACTACATGACATTACATTACGTTACGTTACGTTACATTACGTTACATTACGTTACATTACATCACATTACATTACATCACATTACATTACATACCATACATACATACATACATACATACATACGTACATACATACTAACATAACATAACATAACATAACATAGCAAAACATAACATAACATTAAACTTTCATTACATCCCATCCCATCCATGCATGCATGCATGCATGCATGCATACATGCATATGTACAAACATATACGTACATTTATAGCTATATATTCCTTCTGTATTTATGGGCTTCTATTTATGTACATATAAGCTGCTCATGCATACATGTGTGTTTGTATTTAAACATGTGCATGTATATGTGCGCCTGCACGCGTATGTGTATATGTGTATGTATGCGTACGTGTGTACGTATATGTCTATACATGTGTCTATGTGAACACCTACAATGTCCACAATGTCACCAGCAGGGCACCTTAGCCTTAAACCCTAAACCCTAATTAAACCCTAAAACCCTAAACCCCTAAACCCTAGACCCCTAAACCCTAAACCCTAAACCCTAAACCCTAACCCTAAAGCCCTTCCCCGCCTTCTCCCCCCGAGTGGCCCAGGTGATCGTTCCGCTCGGAGAGCGTCGGCCGGAGCAGTCCGTAGGGTCTGCGTTCCCTAGCCTTTCTTATAATGGGGCCTTTTAGGGTTTAGGGTTTATTCTTAATGGGACCTTATAGGGTTTAGGGCTTATTGTTAGTCATATAACTTCATGTGTGTTTGCTTCTTTGGGCGTTTAATTCTTGCCTTTAGCGTTTGTCAGAAGATCCCAGAGCTTGTCGATTTCTTTTGTTGTGGTGAAGGGTAGGGGTTCTCTTGAATTTGGCGAATTAGGGTGCAAAGGAAGGTCAGTGGTAGTTTGGAGGGGTGTGGGATGTGACTTAGTAATTTAGGGAGTGAAGATTGCAGGATCTAGAGTCTAGAGCTTCGATAGTCTCCGGACAAGTGCACGACTTCGTAAACTTCAGCAGGTGCACGATGTGGGGTGTAAGTATAGGACGTTTACGGCTTAGGAAAGTTTAGGGTTTAAGATGTAGGGTGTAAGCTTGGAACGCTTGGGTCTCAGGTTTTTGTGTGTCCCGCTATGTATATTATATATATATATATGTATATGACAATCTGGACCACTCAGGTTACATGGCTCGGCACAATGCAAGCCATGTTCCTGGTTCTGGCGCCGCGGTACACAATGATACGGTTAATTCAATGGTGCAGAAGCTCGGGGGTAGAGGGGCTAAACCGAAGTGTTAGGTTTGGTATCCCTGGGGCTCCAGACATGCAAATAGTACCTACTTTGCTAATCATATATACCCTAAAGCCTAAACCCTAAACCCTGATAATCATAAATAAAAGTAATATGAACAGGACCTAGCTTACTAATCATATATAACACTATGTGCCCCAGTAACCTAGAGCTCTGGGGTCTCTTTCGGTTCTTGGAGACTCCGAGTTCGGCTTTCAGCATCGGTTTAGGGGTTGATTTAGGGTTTAGGGCAGTTTAGAGGTTTAGGGTTTAGGGGCCATTTGCAAAAAAGGGTTTAGGGTTTTTGATTTATGTCAGCTTCCAAAATGAGGGCTTGCAGCCGCAGAGGTTTTAAGGTTGATGCCTTATGGATAAAGCCTAACGGTTTACGAATTCGGAACTTACTTGGCGCAAAGGTTCTTGCGACATTTCTTATCTTGAGACCTGCAATGATCAATGGGGTTCCTTAGTTGCTGATCGTTTGACGAACTCCCCCAAGCCGAGACACTCCACAATCAACCCTAAACCCGAACCCCAAAACCTAAAACCTCTCGAGTTGCGAGAGCGTGAACCCGAACCACAAAGTCCCAACCCAAAAGTACACCCCGTAAAGAAATCTTCCCACACATTATGCATTGCATTGCGCATATATATATATATATTTACATAGATATAGATATAGATATAGATATAAACACTCTGTGTAATTCTAATGAAATAATATACCACATGTCGTTTATAATCTAGAGTCTGTATAATATCTCCTATGTATACGTTTATGTTAGAAAATATATGTTGCTATGTACTTAATGCGATATCATATCATATCATATATATATATGTATGTATGTATGTATGTATGTATGTATGTATGCATGGATGTATGTATGTATGTATGTATGTATGTATGTATATTATATGACATATCTTTATGATACATTGTATGAGCCCAGGCGCCCCCAGGGCTGCTTTAACTCTGCAGAATGTGCCCACTGCCACATGTGCCTGCCCGGGGAGCTCAAAAGGCACGAGCCTGAGTTCGGGTTTGGATTTTTGGGGTTTAGCCCAGGACCCTATTAAGGGGCCTTGATAACTAGGGTTTTGGGTTTACAATACGATTCTAAACCCTAAACCCTACACCCTAATAATCAAGGCCCCTTAGTAGTGTAGGGTTTGGGGTTTAGGGGTTTTGGGGGTTGTAGGCTTTAGGGCATGGTTTCAAAAGGCTGTAGGGTGGTAAGGTTCAGGGGCTAGGAGTTTGAGGGTCTGAGGTTTCGGGTTCAGGACCTGTGGATTTAAGACCCAAGCCCTAGGCCCTAAACCTTAAACCCTCAATCCCTGGCTGTGTAGAACTGCCTTGTAGCTAGTCAGTCAGTTGACGTCCCATGTTTGGTGTCTTTGGATGGTAAGGGCCTAAATTTGGGTGTTGTGGAGTTGGGTACTTGCCTGTGATGGGATGTTGAGTCCGACTTCGCACCATGAGTCTCGCCTGGCATGTCCGAGTTGTGAGAGCGTAACTCCTGCTGCTATGCTACTGCTGCTGGCACTACCACCATTATACAACCAATACGACTACGACGACAACGACTAGCACAGTTACTGCTTACCACTACTGCTCCCCATGATGTTGCCTGCTGCACAATGCTGTAGCTCTACGGCTGTCGTTGGTAGAACTGCGGGATAGCGTGACCCTCGTAGCTATTGCTTTTGTGTGTGCGTTGTTGCTGTGGGCCAAGGCTCCTGGTTCTTGATAGTCGTATCCGGTAAGCTCAAGCAGCATAAAAAAACACCCGACGAAGCGGATTAATTACCTACTGGCCTATACTATATCGTGACATAAACCAGAGCCACCCAGAATAATGCAAAACGGCAGAGGGACATACAGAGCGGCCTGCTACGGTGCAGTTCTCAGGCGCCTAATGAAACGCCACATCTCCTATGCAGAGGTATAACTTCGCAAGTAGGTTGATGCTTGCTTGGTGGCAGCTGGGATCTCTGGAATTAATTGCGTAGCTAGTTGAGTTGGACCGGTCGTGGTCAGTCCTTGGCTGCCCTGCGCGGCGTGAAAGTCGAAACATATAGCTGCCCACAGCTGTAAACCGACCCCCCATATCCTAGACCCGAAGGCCCCAGAGTTTAGGGTGGGCACTACGATGCAAAGATCCGAGGCTCAAGAAGGCCAAGCAGCAGGCGATGCGTGCACGGGCTCAGCAGCGTGCTCAGCTTGAGGAAGCAGATAATCCTGCTTCTCTGGTAAGCAAAGCTTAGCCTGGGGCTAGGTACATATTTCACAAATCGAAACCGTTCCCATGACACAGATTTACACCCTTCGGACGTGTGTCGAGCTGCCATTAAGCCATGTCAGCCGTCCATGGGCTGCGGCATCCCTCACGAGACCTCATTTGATGCACACCGCCTTCGCAGGTGTGCATTTGTGGTTTTGTTTACCTTCCAATGCTGCTTTCATACCGCGACTTATACAACACATCTTCTTGACCTCACTCATGTGCCATGCCAACAGCATCTTCTGTTTTAAAAGCAGGCCGAAGGGAGAGGGATCCCGTTGCAGCATCTCAGCATCTCGTCCTCTTGCCTTGCTGGCGGGAAGTGTAGGCCCTTTTTGGGGATTTGTAATGGCAGGTGTAGGGTTTGGGGTTTTAGGGTTTAGGGTCCAGGCCTTTAGGGTTTCAGGATTTAGGGCTTTAGGGTTTGGGGTTGAAGGTGCAGGGGTCAAACAGTACTCCCGTACAGTCCCCATATCGCTATGACCAAAAGTTTCAAGAGGATTCCACGGGAATCCTTTTGTGACTGTTAAGAGTCCCGTTATAAGAGGATTATGGGGAAGCCTAAACCCTAAACCCTTTATAAGACTATAAGAGGATTATGGGGAAGCCTACTTGCACCCAGGTCCAGGCCGCTCGACATAGTTCATGATCAGCCTGAAAGGGTTGGGAGAGGTTCCCTGAAGTTGAAGGACTTTGGGGGTCAGGGCTGGGGGTTGGGGGGTTTAGGGGTTTAGGGGTTTGAGGGTCCATGTCTTTGGAGTTCGGATTCTAGCACGAGGTATTCGCGGGTTCTCTCAAGTTTCGATCATCGAGAACCCCTTCCTTTTAGGACCCTGGGAACCATAAACCCAGAGCATTAAACCTGAAGCCTTAGATTCCAAGGATTTTGGGGATAGGTCGGAAAGTTGTTTTCCACCAGCGAGTTTTCCGAGCCGGCCCACAAGCAGGTCAGGCCGATTTGGACAGAGACTGTCTCGAAAGTGTGTCTTGGGAGCTGGGTTGTGGCTGCGTTCTTAACTTTAAGAACCCAGTTGTTGGAGGGTGGGCTTCGGCTTGGTCCTTTGAGAAAAAGGAGCCCCGAAGCTCTGAGGAGAGGAATCGCGCCGCACTTCTCTCTCTAGTTTCCTGGCTCTCCCTTAACTAAGCCTCCTTGTTCCGCCCCCTGAAACCCAAAAACCCCCGAAACCCCACTGCTCTTAACCCGACGCCTTGAAGTGTAGATGCCATCATCCGCGCAAAGATTCCTGCTCCCAACCGACGATCCCAGTTTTAGGTAGGGAGCCGCGACTTTCTCCCCTTGTTCAGAGCCATTGCTGCTGCCGGGCCTCCGGAACACCTGCTACTGATTCTGTCACAGCCACTGATGCCACCACTGCAACTGCTCCAACGATGACTGCGACTGACACCACCACTGCAATGCAACACAATGCAGTATAAGTCAGTACTATATATGATGCCGGTACGGCCGGGCCCCCTCCCCGGTTGCCCCCTTGACGTGGGTCACCCCTGCCTGTTTGGTGTATGTGTGTGTGTGTATATATATATGTGTGTATATATATATACTGTTATCTTTCTTCTTCTTACATCATGATCGTCTTTGTTTTATTAGCTTATTAGCAGTCCTGTGATAACTACTGTTTGCCGTCCTATTGTGATGTGACATATACAATACATTGAATATGCTATGGCATATATAGTATGTATTATATAAGGTAGTACATGATATATAAACACGAATATACAGTATACAATATCTATGACTCAACATTGAATACTACGTTATCCACAACATATTGCTCATAAAGCATGACAAGCTAAACAAATTCACTAATTGTATATATGTTTGTACGCATGTCTTCATGTACATATATATATATACACATCATAGCACACAAGAGAAAGCACAGTGTATTCATAATCTGTTTCATTTTCATACAGCACGTAGTTTAAACTGCATAATCCGCAGTATTGAAATACAATACATGATGGACAGTAGATAGCAGGCAATGAGTACAAGCGAAAAGATAACAGACACAGCTCAATCTTTAATGTAGGCTGTAGAACGTTGATTCCAAGCAGTTCTATGTAGTATGTCGTGTTATGCATGTTGATACAGCATAAAGTTCGTACAATGCAACAGGATATGAGACAACATGCCACCTCAATAGTATCCATTAAAACATCGCACAATGCAATGCAATATTGTACAAAAACATAGTATGACGCAATATAACAAAATATGCTATTATTGTATTATTGCATGGTATTTACCATACTATTGTGTTACAAAAAATGAAACACAACATAATGCAATTTAGTACAATGTGTTTACGCATTTAGCACAAATAGTGTCATTATTATTAACACATGACAATAAAATTAATACTGTAAATATACAGAAATAGTAATACTAACAGTAAACCTGGATAGTTATGATAATCGAACTGAGATTACAAATAAAAACAAGAAGAACAACAGAAATCTAATTATAGCAGTATATCCTAACCACACAACTTATAATATATAGCGTGGATTATCCTAATATGTAAATAGCATCATAAAGATGAACATACTACAATACACTAAAACATGACTATAATATATGACATAATGTGTTCTGTTTGTCACTATTGCATCATTCCTTGCTGAAGTAGACCAATCTTTATGATATAAGGTAACACAGCGCAGTGTAGCGTAACCAGACGGACCAAACATCATATAATGTAAAATAGCACAACATAACATAATAAAGTCGATGCAGTATACACGAATAACAACATAGTAGTACAAAACATAATGTAGCGGAACAGTATACCACGTGTATGACCGGCCACTGTCGTTGCCGCAGGAGTTGCCTCAGATTGTGGGTTTGGTACCTCAAGAACTTCTCGGCAGCCCGGTTTTGGAGCACTAAAGTTTCATCGACCTGGGGCAGATGGGCTTGGGGTGTTTGGGCTTTGTTAACCTTGCCCCCTAAATGGTCCTGACTCCTAAACCCCCACCCATGTTACTACCGAAACCGTTATCGCAGAGGTGAAAATCGGGTAGTTTGTTCGGACTCGGAGAGGTTTCACGATTTCGAGTTAGAGGTTTGGGATCCGAGTGGGTTGTTGGGCGATGGAAGTTCAAAGTCTCAAACAAGTAATTGCTTCACCATATATACATATACATATATATATATATACATACACACATATATACACAAGGCTTAGCCACTTCTGCATGGCTACTGTAGATTCAATCACGTTGCACTGTTTCAATGGAGGTGCGGCCAGTGTTTCAAAGAAGTGGCTTGGTTGAACTCCAATCCGTTTCGAAGTCATGGAGTCTTGGATTTGCCTTGGCAGCACTGGAAATAACGCCAACTCTACCGCGGGCGCTGTAGCCGCTAAAAGAGTCACGGCCGTTTTGGGGGATGTACCATTACATCTCTGCAGCAACTCCAAGCAAGGACCGGAAGAAGGCATGGGGAGGCAGGGACGCTTGCTTAGCTGATTCTACTGCTGTTTTCTCTAGCAGTAGCACTGCGGTCGGCCAGAAGGATTAGGTTTCAGACCTTTCAGAGCTTTCTTGGACGGTCAGACAGATGTACTCCCCCGCCAATGCCTGGCCTATCTCGTGACAACTCATGGGAGGTTCATTCAGAAAGAGGGACCCTCGTTCAGAGTTAATGGTAGCTATGCTATATAAAGACGCCAGAGTTAAATAGGGCCACTCTGCGATGTGGGCTCGTCGAAGCCCTGCGGGAGGCCAAAATGTGGGGGCTCCCTATTTTCAGGAACTCCTTGGCGCAGACACTGCGGTTCCGCTTTGCCAGAGTGCGCTGCGGTCACTGCAGTCTCCAAAGTTCTGGCCCGATCCAATGTGAGCATTTGCAGACGAAGCCGTCGCAGTCTAGAAAGGCCTTCCGCTGTCAACAACAGCAATTGCGAAATCATTGTATGTACACGCCATGCTAGAGTCTGCTGAAGTAACGCGTGGGCACGTGATACGCCGCTACGCGCGACGACCTTTCAGTGTGAGTTTATCGGACTCTGCTGGCTTCTAGAAATGTTCGTGGCTGGACTAGTCCGACTAGTCGTGCTCCACAGAGGTGGACAAAAATGGACATTGCTGTGAAGAAGTCCTAAGCCCTTTGTGAGTGAGCGTCCTTGGCAGCGCAACGGACAGCAACGACAGCACTCATGGTATCTGTTTTTTTAGGATTTAGCGACTCATGGCGTCAGGGGTTGAGGAGCAGACTCGGCTAAGATAGATGAGATCCGGTCCTATCTTTTTTAATTGTAACTAGCATGTGACGTGATTTTGAGTGCTGAGTGTGAGCCTACTCCTTTGGACAGCGGGATCGGGCCCGCAAATCTTGTGGTGCCAACCGTTGCATTTTCCCTCATGTGTAAGGGCTGAGGGTGTTGGTTGCGAGTGGCCTTCGAAAGTAAGTTCTGGTTGGATGCATTGCAAGCAGGAGTTCAGATTCTAGCACATGCCGCGGAAGCTTATGCGGCATCTATTCCCCAGCCTCCTGTTAGCTCTTCAGAGTTTCCGCGGACATTCACAGCATCAGGAATCTGCTTCCGGTATGCTCAACGAGTAAGCCCAGTCAGATTGCTGCTTGTGCGCCTCCTTACAGTATCGATTTTAGAGGACCGAGATGCACCCCCATAGCCCTCACATCTAACAAGACTCCCCCTTCCCGCCGTCAAAAAAACACTGGAAGCACCCTACACATGCCAAGCCTTGACACTTAATCCTAATGGACCCTAAACCTTTCGGCTTGAACCCTATTATTTGCTAGTATGCCTCATGAGTTTGCTCATATATTTATGTAACGTGAGAGGTCAGCGCAAAAAAAAAACAGTAAAAAGGGCCCCTCAACCCTACAAACCCTAAACCCTACAAAGCCCTAAGCCAGGCCAGAGCAAAAAAAAAAAGTAGGAAGGCCCAACCCTAGGCCCCTAAACCCTTAAAGCCTTAAAAGCCCCAAAA